ATTGATTGATCGATTGATTGATTGATGATCGATTAATTGCATTGATTCGATTCGATTGGATTGGATTGATATCAGAGCAGACCAAGGGGAGCAATCTATGCTGATTGATTGATTGATTGATTGATTGATTGATTGATTGATTGACTGATGAATGATCGATTAATTGCTTGGTTAATTGATTGATTGATTTCGAGATTGATTGAGTGGTCAACTACTTTGATTAATTATTTTCTATTTTGGAAATTTCTTTTTTTGCATATCTGCAAGTTTTTGATTCTTTTTTCTTCTTGAACTGAAATTTTTTATTCTCAGATATTATTACTTCCTATATTCTGACATTCAACGAAACCCGAAATCAATGTTTGTTTAATGCCGAATTTTGGAGGTTGTGCTTGGCTTTACAAGGAACCATGTATGAGAACACCAATGAACCACTTTTGTTTTTCTTTTTTTTTAACAAAACACCTGTCAGGGTACTAGGGGTGCTGATATGAGCAGACACCGCTAGTACCATGGGGGAGGCTCCATCTATTGGTGGGTAGCAGCACCTGCTGGAAAGCGGGTCCAGCGTCCCTTGTACAACCTATACTCCGTATCAAATCATGAAAAAGGTCAACTGCCTGCCAGCATTGATTGCCCTGGGGACCCAGGGGATTGACTGTGCAGGAGTGGTAAGGGGAGGGAGCCCCTTCAGCCCTGTGACCAGGCGCTTGATAAAGCATGCGTTACTGAGTCTCTCTTGTTATCACGACCATAGTTTCTTAGAGAGCAGATGGACGACAGCTACCGCTGTCTTCAAACATCACCAGCCCAGCTTATGCCAGACAGGGTCGAAGAAGGTGGTGAGAGGGGAGACGGGATGGATTCCGTGCCCCGGGGGGCGACCGGTGCCTGTACACAACCCCTTCCCCTTCTCACCATCCCTCTGCGCCCCTGCGGTGCCTCCACTGGGCGGAACCATCCTATTTACCACCCATACCAACTCAATTCAACCAGGGTGTGTTCTGGTATGGGGAAATGATCTGGGAAGGCTGAGGGCGGGGGTGACCAGAGATAGGAGTTCTTCCCTCCCATTCTCACCTCCTACTCCTTATTCCGTACTGTACCAGCTTTATTCCATCAATGTGTGGCCAGGGGGAAAAGGATCTGGGAAATCTGTGGGAGGGGGGAGGGGGAGGGGGGAGGGGGATATCATCAGAGGCCGTGGTCCAATCGTTGAAACAGAGCCCGGTAATTCGTCTGCCTGGCTTCCAAATGGTGATTGTCATCCAGGTGTCAGCCATTCCATTGGACCCTGGCTATCCTTCCCTGTTGTTCCCCTCCTAGCCAATCCATGCAAATTTCATTTAGGTAGCAGGTGATGTCCGCTTTTTAGGAGAGAGGCTTTGTGATCTTTACTGTCTTTGTCCATTGGGCCCCTTTTAATTATGTCTTTCATGTCTCTACCATCTCACCCCTCCCCATATGTGTACAGCAGCGCCACCTGATAGCCCACAACACCCCCTCCTTCCAATCGAAAAAAGGTTGGAGGTAAAGCCTGAGGCTTGGGCCGTCCAATGTCCACAGAGCAGGGCTCTCCATTCCCACGGCCACTCAGCGTCCGTTTCTAAGGCCAACAGACTCATGCCCACCATCGCCAGGTAAGAACTGATGGTGGGCATTGCAAGAAAAGGTGTTTAATTGTTTCGTTTACCTCCCGGGATGGAAAACCTCCATACACCACGGCAGGGCCAAACCTTTCTGCTCCAGGTTGGTGTGGTCAATGAGCCATGCATTTGTGGGGAGGCAACAGTGAGCTGTTTGCCACTGCAGCGAGGCCAACTTGGCGGGTTTACACTTGACCCTCCTTAAACCATTTAATTGGTCTGAGTGCCTCTAGTGGTATGTTCAGATGCCTTGCCCATCGATCCACTATCCGGTCCCTTAGCTTGATCCTGGTCCTTAGTAGTCTGTAAGTGGCCTTAACCCCGAGGTTGTGTAGGTATCAGTACCTAGATTGTGAATCTTGCGAGGGGATGTGAATCTTGCGAGGGGATCCGCCACCTCCACTCCCACGGGTCAATGAGGAGTTTCTGAATAGACAGCTCAGGCCTGAAAGCTGCACAGGAATCCCCCTCCTTCAGCATCCTTACCCTGTAGATTGCTGTCTTAGGGAGCCAAAAAACGTCGTCCTGTGCCCCCTGTACCAGCCGATTCTGGCAGTTTTACAGAATAGGTTTACCAGTGCTTCACCCTGGCTGGCCATCAGCACCTGACCGATGCCGGCCTCGTCTCCTTCTATTGCCACCCAATCCCTCTCCAAAATTGCTGGACCATGCCGCAGGATCTGCAGCCATGCCAAGGGGAGGGAGAAGATAATTTCTTCGAGCTTCTCTGTTACATCTTCAACGCCACACGGTCCCTACCGGATCCGACTTAGGGCCAGAGGGACACAGTCGGGCCTAAAGGCCCGACCTTGGGGGTACTACAGGCCGTAAAGGCCTCACTTTGGACCAGACCCGACGGGCAGGCYCAAACGACATTACCGTTTGGGCCTGGCGGCGCTCTTGAGGCTGCCGCCCGCCGGTTGGGGCTGAACCGTCCATCTTGACGGTTCAGGGCACGGCCAGGCCTCGCAGCATT